GGCCTGGCGGGGCGGTTTGCCGGAGGTTGAGTTCCTCCGCAGCAAGCGCTTGGCTTTTCTCCAGCGGTGGCATTTGGCGAGCGGTGGCCTGGCCGTGCCAGAACCGGACCACGGCTATCACAGCCTGGAGGAGGAGCAGCAGCAGCAGTGCAAGGGCGTTTGTCAAGAAGAGGGAGAGGGACGGCGGGAGCAGCCGTGCGACGCCGGGGAGTTGGAGCGGCCCGAGGAGCCGAGCGAGGAGGGGAGACAAGCTGGAGGTGGACCCTTGGAGCAGGGGGGGATAAGGGGTTCGGCTGAGAATGGAGCACTTGAGGGGGGAGCCCTGACGGAAGAGGATGATGAGGACTCCGAAATAGGGCAAAACCTTCCAGTTTCAGCCAGACCTGCCTGTGCAAATAAATTAATAGACTATATCATAGGGGGGGGAGCTTCCAGTGGGGAGGAGAGTGCGGAGGATGAGGAAGACTGGGATGATGATGACGACGGGTTTGACAGCGAAGGGTTCCCCTCGGATTCAGACGCCGGTAGCCAGGACGGGGAAAGCCTTCATCTCTGGAATTCCTTCTACAGTTTGGATCCGTACAACCCTCAGAACTTCACAGCCACCATTCAGACATCTTCCAGCGATCCGGGAAAGGATATGTCAGATGTGGAGGAGGAGGAGGATGATTCTTCGTGGGCCGAGGAGTCCTCAGACTCTCCTCACGCTAGTTCTGAAGAGGAGGACGAATGGGACTGTAGCAGTGTGGATGAGGCAGAAAGCTTGAAACTTTGGAACTCGTTCTGTACCTCAGATGATCCATATAATCCTTTAAATTTCAAGGCAGCCTTTCAAACAGCAGAGAAAAAAGGGACGCCTGGTTTAAAAGGAGCAGAGAGGCCGAGTTTGGTCATTTCTGAGCCCAGCCACTTAACTGTCTGTCAGGTGCAGCTGGAAAAACATAACTGTGGGGTCACTGACTTTGTGCAGCATGGCATTCTTTCTGGTGAGAAATGTAGAAGTACCAAGCGGAAAAAGGTATATACTTCGTTTACGTTTTTCTGTTTTGGGGATGCTTAAAAAGAAAAAAAAACAACCCACCAAAAAAAACCAAACACATTGCATGAAGTGGTACGTGAGTGGGTGAGGTCACTTGTGCTGGGATTCCAGCCACAGTGGTAGGCAGATCATGCCCCCATGAGCTTATGGTCTAATTATTTGATTGAAATGACTGTGTCTCATCCTTTACACGTGATGGGAGATTTTGTAATTCAGTGGCACAGGGCAGATAACGTCTTTAAACTTCTTTTCTAGTTTTCGTTCTGTATTTGTGTTGTAGTTTTCGTCATCAGAGAAACAGATAGGAACTGTGACAAATTTTCCTCTGGAAAGTACCCGCTTCTGTTATGAATAATGTTGATAAAATATTTTAGGACCTTTGGGTGTGCATAGTGTAATTGAGACGTAAAGTATTGTAAGCATTTTAGGACTTGTGACAAGTCTGCTTGAGTTACAAACGTCTTTTGGAGTAGGAAGAATCCTTCTGTTGTGGGTTAGCACATGCTACAGTAAGCCACTGAAGTTTCAAAAGAGAGCATAGTAGTACTCCCGTTTCCATGTAAGACACTATTATAATTCAGCAGTCGTTTATTAAAAGGATGTGATCTGGAACTGGGCTTTTGATCACAAACTGGAAGTGTAATGTGTTTATGAAGAGTTAAAAGCATTAAAAGAACTTTTTAATACGTGTGCTAGGATTCAGGTAAATAGTAAGAAACAAATTCATCTTCTTATGAGTTTTATAGTGCTACACGTGTACAAGATGGCTTCGTAGGTGTAATGTCTGAGTCTTGCCTGATAGTGAAAACATTTGCGTGAGTTGTGATACCAAGTCCCAGGGTAATACACCAGTGTAACAAGCTATCAAAATAGAAAAGTTGGAAAATGCTTGCCTTAGTGTTCATACAGTGGCAAGATTTGTTTGCTCCTTTAATTGAGACCCTGACTTGGAGGTGACTTCATACCTGGTTTTGCTAGGGCAAGTGGCATTTAATGGTTCACACAGGGTAAACTGTTATATATTAAACTCCATTTAGATTAACACTCAGAAAGGTAAACAATTTCTACAAGAAGTCCTTTGTAACTGACAGCATCTGTCTGAAATGCTGCAAGGTAGCACTGGTGAGCCCCGCTATAACTTCATACTGCCGTGACCTAAAATCCTGTTGCGTGTCAGGGGTGTAGACTTAACAGTAGTAATTTTTTGACTAATTTGTTGTTTGAGTCTGTGTAATCTATTGACATGGTGAAAGAACGATGATCTAGATGCAATATTTAGGATGATGCTACAAAATCCAGTAATTGTGCCCAAGGGTGTCTCAGACTGATGTAAAAAGGATGTAAGGTAGGAACTCGCAAAGGGATAGGCTGATGTAACAGCTCCGTGTGCTTGAAAGCACATACTTAATTAGGCCCATCTGCAGAACAGCAGAGATTGCCGAGCAACGACCAAGGTGTTCCCAGGCAATCTTCTTGTCCTTCATCCTGCTCAAAGCTATTTCCTATCTGGCATCCTGCAAACAAACAGCAGCAATATTCGTGTTTGTAAAGTCATAAAACCTGGGGGCGTTCTGTTTCGCTTACGAGTTAGGAAATGCATTAACACTAGGTGAGGATGTGTGGGATCAGATGCCCCTGCTTTCGCAGACAACTCGGCAGTAATTTGGGATTGCTGCACTGGATTTGGGTGACTTCTGGAGATTGCTTTCACACAGTCTCTTGTGGCTCTATGTCCTCAACTGCTGATTATTCCTGTAGGCTGTCTCTTCTGTAACTGTTAGCTTCATGTTTTCTTTGAAGGTTAGAAGATGACTGCCACAAAAAGCAATCTCACTCTATACTCCTCATTGTGTTAGCACAAACTGGGTGTGAAACTAGTGTTCTGGGTTCATAAAACAGGGATGGAGCAGCAAGTTTCTTGTATCCCCCCCCACGCCCCAAGTTTCTTCCTGACCTTCCAGAAGTAGCTGTCCTGCAGCAAATTCAGTGGAGTCGTCTGCAACAACAGTGTTTGGTTTGTCTTCAAGAATCATTCCTAGTCTGAGAGCTGATGGATGCTGTGACAGCTAGTTGGGTTGTCCTTCAGGTTTGTGCCTTCTGTACAGCTAAATGAAAAGCAGTACATAATTCAGTAGGAGCCTGAAATAGTCTGGCTTTTGCTTGTCACTCTATAACAGCAGAACTTAAATGCTTAGTGTGGTAATAGTCCAAATACTGTCAGGTTTAGATTCTGGGCCTATAAGTTTCTTTGTTTTCTTAAAATAGCTTAAAAATTCTTTAAAATAGCAGAAAGTGAAAGTTTTCATACATGTTTTAAAGTGCCATGACTTTGACTTCATTTTGTTCCATGAACTTAAATACCCTGGAATTTGATACCAGCTGTAAATAGATGGTTTGTTCCAGTCACCTAGTGATGAGTGTTGCTTCCTTATATGTAGGGTAGTATGATTTCTTTTCCCGGTGCTGAAGTATGGGCTGACTCACATGATTACTTATTCCACAGAACAATGATTCTCCCTTTTCTTATGTAAGCTTCAGTAATCAGAGATGTTGGCCGGTAGCATATTTCTTGTTTTAAGTGAGCGTCCTGACGTGTCCCACTGAGTAACCTGCTTGCACTGTATGTGTGTAAGGTTATAACCCAGTACTGATGTCAGGAGGGGTGTTATTTCACAGGGAACACTGTGTGATCTCCTGTCAGCCTAAAGAGGCCTCTTAGGCCCCAGTTTAGAAACTCCATGGTAGTTTGAGCGTTACTTTTGGTAGAGGGAGAGGTTAGCAACTGGTTGCTTTTAAAGGTAAGAGATGACATACGCACTGGCCTAGGTGGTGCAGAGACCTAGCGTGAACTGGTAGTGTGTCTGAGGCTTTTTGCTATTTTGGGCATTTAATAACTTCTGCTAAAATCGTATGGGCAATTAAGTATTAAGCTCCTTTTGCATGAGTGTTTGGTTGATGCTTTACTAAATGACTTTGTCTTTTCCAGGTAACCTTCCTTGAAAAAGTTACTGAGTATTACATAAGCAGTGAGGAGGATCGTAAAGGACCCTGGGAAGAGCTTGCACGAGATGGATGCAGGTTCCAGAAACGTATCCAAGAAACAGAAGAAGCCATAGGACACTGCTTCACCGCAGAGCATAGACAAAGAGTATTTAATAGACTCCAAGAAACCTACTACAAGAGGGTTGACCTCTTCTAGCACCTTAAAAGATCTGTAGTTGTGTGACCCTAAGCACTCATGAACATCTTCAAAGCAAGAAGTGGCAGCTGCATGTGCTATTTTGAAATGGGGAGAGAAGTGGGATTTTAGCAATTTTTTTTTCCCCAGTTCAATATTCAGCCAACAAATACACCTGTGTGTCCCATTTTGGTATCCAGACAAAATCTTTTGAGTATCATCAGGGGGTAAGGGTGGTATAATTGCATTCCTTTTAAGTAACACTTGAGAAACAGACTGCTTTAGGTTAAATCCATTCCAAAAATGCCTTGTCTGCCGTATGTGGAGAAGTGGTGACTATTAAGTTGGATTTTTGCACTTTGAAAAAGCAAAACCTATTTTGAAGGAAATATTTATGGGGCTCAGAACCTAGTTATTGCAGTTTTGATTTAAAGTTTCTGGAGGTATGTGCTACTTTCTTGTGGTTCTCTGTTTTCTCTAACTTGTACAAAAGTCTCCAAATTTTGTTAGCTAATAAGGTTAACATTATTGTGCAAAGCAGATAGTTTATTCCTTCCTTTTAACATCACAGTTTTGCATGTAATCTAATGTTTGAGTGTTTATGTAACGCTTTGGTGTCTTAATATTTCAGTCTAGCACACTGGGGGATTCAGGGGAACTCTGGTGCACTACGAGCCCTTTGGTTTGTCTTTATTTAAATAAATACCTTCACCCGGTACTGTTCCAAAGGGTGTTGGCTGCTTGTGCACCAAACCTCTGTGCTTTCAGGGCAATGAAAGGCCTCATCCGGATCAATAATTAAAGCTTCAAGATGTGTATCGAGGCTGTGGCTGATAGTTTGAATTTAGGTAGTGACACACAGGGAACTAGGCCCTAGTTCTTGAGTTAATCTTAGACTAACTTTGCCGTAATTGATTCTGCTTTTTGGAGATGGATTGAGGTGGAAGATTCTACATATTTCTTGTATCCAATATGCTTGTTTTGGTACTTGTAAGGAGAATTCTCTTTGACTTACGGAAATCTAATGCTACAGATTGCTGTGTTCTTTACCAAAAGCCAGTATTAATACCTCTACGCGTCTGCACTTTTGTTCAGAAATACGAAAATAACATTTCATGTTTAGGGACTGAAAGTTGAGGTCCTCGGTGGAAGAAAAACACTCCTTATTTATGTTTCTAACTTAAAATGTTTAATTGTTGTTTCAATCAAAACTAAAAAAGCAGCACCATTTGGATATGTGTTTGGACCTGAAGGATGTTGTGTGGCTGGTATGCAAGCAGGTATGAGGTCATGCAATGGAATAAATACCGAACATCACAGAATTTGTATCTGCACAAAGTTGCGTGAATAAATTATTTTTTCCTCAATTCATTCAGCTGACTAGAATTATTTCCCTTTTTTCGAAGGGAGAAACCTAAAACCTTCAGATTTGTCATCTCAATGACTTCAATTTTTAATTTGAAAGAAGATTCCGGATACAGAAGAGCTTCACAGCACTTTACTGAAATTTCTGCTTAATCGTGCTACCTTTTTGGCCATTACTTTTAATTCTGTCTCAAATTTAAGAGTTTTTGAGTTTATTCTTATTGCATGATGTTCTTAGAAATAAAAAATTCTCTTTCTCTGCTACAACTTAGAAGTGTTACAATTACGAAATGCAGAATAATTTCGTAATTACGAAATGCTGTGAACTACAGTAGAGTTGTCATGTAAACTTAAATTGCAGCTGAAACTCAAGCAGCTTTACAGACTGGCTACTCAGAAGCAATGCAGCAATGTTATTTTTTGTCCCCATGGCCTAAAAAAAAATACGGATTCTCCTTTCCTACAAAAGATAATTTTAGTTGTGAAATCGTAATTCTAATCATGCCCTCAAATCCTGTCAAATAATTTTTAGGAGTTCGTTTTCCTGTATCGTTTGATAACAGGTGTTCTGCTTTTTAGTTTAAGAAAAAGCATGCAGGATGATAAATGTAGGATTACAATAGAAAAATTGTTGACTTATGATCCAAGTGTGACTGATGAGTAATGCTGTTCATTGCTTTTGGTAAAATATACTATAGTCATTTTTCCGTGACTCTCCTAGTTTCTTCGCTCTTGGAGAACTTGTTGGTGCTTCAGTTACTCTGGACAACTCACTTGGTTTACTGGTGCTTGTAAGAAGCTTTAGCCTGGTGTGAATTAACACCTGCAAATTCTCACCCACTGTTTGCGGAGGCTTGGAAAAGGCTACAGCTGGAAACAAACAGAATTGACAAATTGGATGTAAACTAGATTAAAAACTACTTCCAAAGTGCTTCTGACATTTGAGAAGTTTTTTTCCGACCTGCAGTGTATCAAGTGCTGTGTTCTAACACTGCTGATTCTCGCTGAAACGTACCTGCTTGGGTAAGCTTTTCTGCCTCTCGTGTTTTCAAAGTATCCAGGGTAAAGTGAGAGGAAATTAACACTACATTCATCACCGTAAAAGCAAGCTAAGCTTGCTTGTCACCATTTTCCCTATAACATATCTTAAAATGGTCTTACAGAATGTGTATATGTGTAAGTGCTTTGAGTGAGACAGTAAAAATAACACTTGTTGAACTTTAAATCAAAACTGTAATTATCAGATTTTATTTTTGTATAATTTAGAGAAAGTTAGAAAACCTTCAGCATTGGCTTTATACAGATTTTAATTGATTTGTGTCAAGTTTGTTGGGTTTTTATATCTAAAGTTATATTTCTGTACATAATAAAACTATTCAGAACTAATCTGTAAATTGTAATAAAGATATTTGCAAGATAATGCCAAATTGGTTTTCTTTGAAAGAAGTTATGGGAAATGGCAGGTAACTGTGCGAAAGCATTAGTTGTGTATGAGAATATTAAGTATTTTTTTTTATCACCTTTGGTGTTTCAGAGGCGGTCACGGTAATTTAGAAGCAGCCTTCTTCCCTGTGAATTTCCTCCAAACCAGTAAACGTGTGGTCGTAAGGGCTCCTTGTACTGGTAAAGCTTTTAAACGAAAATGCAAAGTGTGCAAGTGCAATTAGTTTTACTCAAATTAGGTGTTGGCTTGGTCTACACAGGGATGTTAATGTTCTGTTGCCCTAATTGAAGCGGAGTATTGAGATTTGATTGGAGCTTGCTCACTGGTTAGCAGAACTTTAAATATGAATGCTGCATGGTTTTGAAGGTATTTCAGGGGCTTTTTTGAAGTATTTCCAGGTTTTGTGCTGGAACAAATTTGAGGTGTCACCTTGTGAGTAGAAGTGACTCGAAGGTGCCAACCGTCTGATCTCTCTTCAATTAGAGAAGAGCCAGAACGCTTCCCTGTGTTTGGCTATGTCACGTTGGCCTATGACGCAGAGAATTATTTTGTTCCCTTGTTTATATTTTAATGAATTGGAGTAAAATGTTTGGGAAGGAGCTGAGAATACGCACGAGTGTAGGAAGGTGGCAGTGCCCAGTGACACTGAATCCTGCACAGCGTTATCCAGGATAATTATTTTTTAATGAAGGACTTTTTTTTGTTGTGTAAAACTGTGTCTATCGCTCCGTGGTTTTTTTAGACTAGGGAATGCTGTAATTTTGGCAGTCTCCCAGCAGCGTGAAGGCAGAATGCCTGGGGAGAGCTGGGTGCTCTCCCGCCGTTGTGCCCCGGGGCTGGGGCTGGTCGGGTGGGTGGCCCTTTGCTGGTTGGGATGACAGAAGCTGAAAGACCAGGGCGGCCACAAAACGTGGGCTTCATATCCCAGAGGGATGCCTGGAGGGATTTGCGGGCATAAATCGGCTTTTTTCAGGGGTTTCCAGGGACTTGGTGGGGAACGGGGCTGGGCGGGAGGATTTTGGCCTCAGCCAAAGCCCAGCTGACGAGCTTCCTCTGGAGCGGCGATACCGGTGACCAATACCGGTGACACGGTCACCGCATGTGAGGTGCTCACGGCATTGGAATCTCTGGAATGAGTTCAAGGGCCATGGGTTGGTCACGCCTCCTCTAGAGCGCCGTTTTGGGGAGAGCTTTCAAGTTATTGGTTGTTTAGTTTATGCCTTGAAGAACTGGAAGGGTGCTATGCACTGCTTGCTCCCGTCTTGCAGCATGAGCCACGTTTCACCCTGTGCCCGCACCTTGTCTGGGCGTCTCTAAAACACCATCCTGCAGGTTTTGTGTCCGTAAGAGTATATCAAAGGTAGAAAACTGCTGGACAAGACAAGGAAAAACACTGAACTTCTTGTAATACCCTCTTTAAAATAGTGAACAAAGCTGAACAGAGCGTAATTATGAACCTCAGTGGGGTTTTCTAAAGTCATATTCACCTGTTCTGCTGCTTCCAAAATCTGCCTCAAAATTGAGCATTGTAATTTCTCTTTATTCAATGAGATGGCTTAAAGAAAGAGCGAGTGAAATGAAAGCTGCTCTTGTTGGCAGTGCATCCAGATGCCATCTGGAATGTGGAAGTCCTGCTGGGGTTTCTTTATTCTGACGGCGCTGAGGTCTGCAGTTGGGGTTTAGTTGACACTTTATCTGTGCGAGAGTAGAATTGTTCTTGCTCTGGTAGCTGCGTCTTCTCCCCGGGACTTAAGAACTTGTTTGTCAGCAAAGCACGTGGGGAGTAAATATGCTGCTATTTTTGGAGTCGCTACTGACTGCGTCCACTGAAATGCCATTTGCAAATTAACAGTGCTGCGGAGCTGGTTTGGTCCCACAAAAGCCGGTTTCTTGGGAAACTGGCAGGCGGGAGAAGGCACCGATGACACTGAGTCACGGCGCGATGGCGGGGCCAGGGGGAGCCCGCAGATTCCCAGCCGCTGGAACTCGGGTATAATCCAAGGCTTGTTTCAGCATGTGTGGTGGGAATGAAGTCTCGGAAAAGCTGTCTGTTAGCGGTAGGTAGCAGGCGTCCCTCTGCCCTGCTGCTGCTGCTGCTGCTGCTGCTG